AAGGAATCCTCCTATGATCCGCCATGAGGAATCAGATTGCAATCCCCCACCGGAGGAAACCGATTGCAATCCTTCACAAAAAGAAAACCCACCTGAATTATGAAATCAGACTTCCCATGTACCCAAGGTATGGTGTCGTTGTTTTTGTTGGTTTCCCGCCCCGGCTTTTGCTGCGCAGGCTTTTGGAAGCTTTGATCACAGGATGTCCAACAAACTGTTTATGTTGGTTGTCCCTCTTTGTATTGCTCTTCCAGGCGCAGGGGAGGTTGATGGAACTCGTTTCGAAACGCGTCTCCATTGAAATCTAGTAACCGGCCTTCATCGGATTCGAGCTCCCCTGCGCCTGGACAGCAATGACAGAGGTGGGGGGCAGAAAAGACAAATTTTGTCAATCCAAGAATCATAGCTTCCCATAGAGTGCGCAGCAAAAGCCAAGGCGAGGAACCAAAACACACAAGAAACAACGCATTTATCGTCGGTACGTGGGATATTTAAGTTCATGGTTGCAGCGGATCCCTTTTGTGGAGTCACATTGTGATTCCGCCCTTGGGGGGTCACCATCTTTTGTGCAGGATTGCAGTTGGATTCCGTGTTGGGAGAGTTAAGATTGGATGCTTTGCGTGGACGATTTTTAGATTCGGATTTCTTGCGTAGAGGATTACAATCGGATTCCATGCGCAGACGATTCATTCGGATTTCGCTTGTGGAGGAAAACGCGAGGGATCCTTTTGTAGAGGATTCATTCGGATTCCTTTTGCGGGTGCTTACAAAGTCCCTTTGGCGGGGCCCTGCAATAAGACTCCTCTCTAGAGGGCGACGATCCCTGGCGCGGGCGCGAAGACGAGCGCGAAAGGCAGGAAGTCCAAACACCAGTCATTAGCAGACGCAGCGAATGCTTCGCCTCATGCTTTGCGCCCGAGCGGCGGCGGTGGCCGTGCCAGACTCGGTTTCGACGCCGAGCGATTCGAGCAATTGCTCGGGGACTCACGGGCCAAAGCTTTTCGGCACTTGGGGCGAGTTGGGCCCTCGCTGGGCCAGCGCCGAGACCATGAAAGACACTTTCGTCAGCGCCGATGCCATCGACGTCACCTTCGCCGATTGTTGTGGCCATAGCGGTGACAATCTTGCTTGCAATCGCCGCCTGGACGACGCGGGCGCAGGTGCGCTGGCTTCAGCGCCCGCGCATTTTTTGGCCATGACCGGAGACCAGACATGCTGAGCAAGTGCGTCGGACGCCACATGAAGGAAGACGCTGCCATTCGAGACTACGCCGACCTACAAGTGATGCGTTATCGGAGGCATGGGCCCCTCGGCAGCATGCGCGCGCGCGGGCCCGCGCTGCAGCGGCTCGCGAAATTTCAGATCCAGAATTTTCGGTTCGTGGTCCCCTGCTTGGGCCCCCCTTGGGGCCTTCTTGGGCCGTCTTGAACGCTTTTTGGGCCATCTTGGAGCTCTCTGGGACTGGCTTGGGCCCCTCTCGGAGGTTTTTTTTGCGCTGTCTTGGGGCGGTCTTGGGGGCTTTTGTAGCCGCTTTGGAGCGTCGGAAAACCGAAATTGCGAGAAGGCCAACGTCCTTCGAACACCTTTGTGCAATCGACGATGCTGGCCTCTTGAGGCTCTCTCGGGGGGCCTCCTGGATCGCGCTGGGGGCCTCTTAAGGCCCCCGTGGGCCCTCTCGGAACCATATTCGGGCGCCTTGGAGCAACCACTCTTGGCCTCGGCAGCAATATGGCGTAAGTTGCAATCGTGAATGGCCTTGGGGACGCGAGCCTTGCGTAATTTATAAAGGATTCTGGCCTCGGGGGCGCACATCTCATGTATGTGTACGTGTCCCACGCCCCCCCAGGAATTCAGACAACACGATCCAGGCGTGGCAATCGGGCGGTTTGGGGCTCCCCCCTCTCGCGGACTTCACAGTTTACAGCAGGAAGCAGGAAGCAGGACTGTAACACTGGAGACTTGAACCTGCAACTGGCGCAGGGAGCAGCGCACTTCGGCCTGCAGCCTGGTGGCCCAATAAGGGCGGACGGGCGGATCCCTGCGCGCGCGTGGCCCCAATGCGACGTCGGCCTGGCAGCTGGCGCACTAGTCGGGCACGTCAATAATCGGACGTTTTGGTATGGTTGGTTCACCAGGCGCGCAAGCGAGTCCGCGCGAATCAGACGCGCTAAGGGGGCGCGCTAACGCAGAGCGAGCCATGAATGGGTAGCAGGAGTGAAAACGGGCAAACAAGAATGGCGAGACGATGATGCGGAACTTCCCTCTTATCCGCGCCAGTGGGATAACCCATGGTGACGGCGGTGACGAGGGCGAATAGGGTGATGATAGAAACGTTGATGCTGATGATAACGATGCCGAATACGGCTTCATGACTTCGATGCTTGTGATGGGCACCCGGAGACTGGATTGCCCACTACGAACATGTTGATGGTGATTACGCTTATGGTGATAATGATGACGATTTTGATGATGATGATGTTCATGATGATGACGGTGGTGACGATGTTGACGAGGATGACGATGATGAACATGATCCTATAAACGAGGATGATATTGAGGATTATGATGAATACTATACTTTGGATTAAGATGGTGATGGTGGTGATGTTGGTGGCGATGCTGATGATGACGAGGAGGATACTTGTGGTTGTGATGATGATTATGATGTTCAATATACTGGTACTGATAATGATGCTGGTGAGGCTGACGATGATTGCTATGACGAAGTGATGATCGAGGTTGACCTGACTTTGAAGACGAGCATGATCCTTATGATGCCGTTGCTGATGATGATGTTAATGTTGCTGATGATGTTGCTGCTGATGATGATGACGATGATGATGCCACTGTTGTTGTTGCTGTAGTTGTTGGTTTTGTTTTTGTTGTAATTGAACTCCCACTCTTGAATAATGATTGTTGTCACCCCCCACCGGTGCACATTGTGTTTTTCAATTGAAGTGCTCCCCTGAGGGCTCGCACCCGGGTTTTAAGAGGGAAAGTTTGCATGCTCAGGCTGTGCTCCTGGCCCCGGCTACAACAACAACGGCTCTCGCCTGATGTTTCCTCACATTTGTTTCGACAGTCGCGCTCTCGCTCGGGATCGCCTCACAATTTTGGTAGGAACCGCGCTCTCGTGTGGGACTTCCTTGCAATGTATTCAGAAGCCGCGCCCTCGACACTCAGGAAACAAGCTCTCGCTCTGGCTTTCCCACGATTTACTGTGGAATCGTGCTATTGCTCGAGACGTCCTCGCGATTCATGCAGGGTTCACGCTTCGGGAACCCACCTGCTCGACCTGGCCGCCTGGGCCCGCCTTCCCGACCCGCCTGCTAGGGTGTGCCCGCCCAAACTGCCCGTCTGGTTCTCGCACGTGTCTTTTGTTCCTAGCCCCCCTCCTGTGAATTTCTCTTCTGGTCCATCTGTCTCCCTCCCCCTGCAATCCGTCCTCTCTTCCCCTGTCTTAGGGGCTGCACTAAATGCGCGTGGCAGGTAAGGAAGATCTACTCGAGAGGGTACGATCGAAGACGAAGACGGCGGGTATCGCAGGTTTGGGATGCACATGTCGAACGGCACGCAAGCAGATAGGAGCGAACAGTCTTGACACGAGTGCTGTTGTTGCTGCTGTTGTTGCTGTGGTTGTTTATGTTGTTGCTGCTGTTGTTGATGCTGATGGTGATGATGCTGGTGATGCTGGTGATGGTGATGGTGATGGTGATGGGAAGGCTCCTCTGGACTTGCCGGGAGCGCTGGCCAGTGGCAAGCTCGCCTGCTCCCTGGGCACGCGCCCCGAGCCTCGACGTCGGCCGCGGTCCTCGGCAGGCCCGCGCCGTGGCCAGCCGACTCTGGAGGCCTTCGACTAAACGCGGGGGGCGGGGTCGAGCAGGCTCTCTCGGGGTGACTCCGACGAGCCTCACGGGCGGGTCAGCCGGTCAGAGGCTCGGTGGTCTTGGCAGGTCCCTCATGGTTTCGTCGAGGTCATCAGCATCAGTCTGCACTCAGAGGTGGGTCCGTCGAGGCCGAAGGCAGCCGAATCGGGATGCGAGCGGCTCGGATCGCGCACGATAAAGCAGTCACGCGAGCTGCTTGCCGCTGCAGAAGGTAACACGTCGGAGCGCTCTCCGTGAGCGGTCACGCGGTAAGCCTTCAGGCATCGCCCGCACGACGTTCGAATATCGGGTGGTGCCAACACCTAGACGTTGATGGTGACAGTGAAATTGGCGATGCTGATGCTGATGACGACGACGATGACTAGAACGCAGACGAGTATGATGATGGCGACGATGGCGATGATGGTGATGATGACGCGTCTTCTGTTGCTGATGATTATGTCTCGAGTGTTGGAATCGTTGTTGAGGGCGATAGCAATGATGATGCTGATGATGCTGATGAAGATGTTGATGCTGGTGCTGATGCTGATGGTTGTGAATGTGAGAGTTATGTTGGTGCTCATGAATGACTCTGGTGATGCTGCAGAGGGTGTTGGTGGTGGCGGTGGCAGTCGTGGTGATGACGCTGATGCTGATGCTGATGCTGATGCTGATGCTGATGCTGATGCTGATGCTGCTGATGATGATAGTGATGATGATGGTGATGGTGATGGTCACGACGGTGAGGATTATGATTATGATTACGATGCTGATGATGATGCTGATGGTGGTGCTGCTGATGATGATGGTGATGAGGATGCTGCTGATGATGATGAAATGATGAAGAGATGAAGATGGTGATGATGATTCTGATGATTATGATGATGCTGATGCTGATGCTGATGCTGATGCTGATGCTGATGATGATGATGATGATGATGATGATGATGATGATGATGATGATGATGATGATGGTGATCCTGAATATGATGGTGGTGGTGGTGATGATGATGATGATGATGATGATGATGATGATGATGATGATGATGATGATGATGATGATGATGATGATGATGATGATGATGATGATGGTGATCCTGAATATGATGGTGGTGGTGGTGATAATGGTGATAGTGGTGATGGTGATCCTGCTCCGCTTCTCTGCCAAGCTGGAGCAGGGCCGCGCGAGGGCGCTGGGCCTGGGCGCGGGGCCGGCGCGCGCGGGCGAAGCGCGCGTCGGCCCCGTGCCCAGGCCTGCCCCGAAAGGCGCCATAGGAGCGCCCGCCTCCCAGCCCCAATGCTGGGCCTGGGCGTCCATCTTGTGGCCCGAGGCTGGGCCTTAACCTGGGCCCTTTTTGTCGCTTAGGCCGATCGTTAGGCTGCGGGATGCTTCGTGGGTCCGATGAGCCCCGACGCACCGCTCCTGCCCTCTCTGGCCCGCCGGATCTGCCGGCATCGCCGGGAGGGCTAGTCAGAGGAGGAATAGGTACGGATGCCGCTGTCCCTGCTTCCTTTTCGCCTGTTCGGGCCTCCTTGGAGGCCTTTGTCGACAGCTGGATTCGCCACGAGATTCTGGCCGAAATCCGCCCGAGCGCACCCCGGGAGAGGTCCAGGGGGCAGCGGTATGGGTATCTGTTTGTTTCCTCGGCTTCTTCAGAGGGGAAGGAGGAGGAGCAGGTGAAGAGGGTTGGGGGGAAAAAGGAGGCGGAGACAGGAGGAGGAGCAGGAGGAGCAGGAGGAGGAGGAGGAGGACGAGGACGAGGAGGAGGAGGAGGAGGAGGAGGAGGACGAGGACGAGGACGAGAAGGAGGTGGAGGTGGAGGAGGAAGGAGGAGGGAGGAAGGAGGAAGAAGGAGGGGGGAAGGAGGAAAGAGGAAGGAGGAAGGAGGAAGGAGGAAGGAGGAAGGAGGAAGGAGGAAGGAGGGAGGAGGAGGAGGAGGAGGAGGAGGAGGAGGAGGAGGAGGAGGAGGGAGGAGGAGGAGGAGGGGGAGGCGAAGGAGGGGGGGGAGCAGAGGCAGGCCAGTCGAGGCACGCGGGCACAGCACGGCACGGCACAGCACAGTCGAATCTCGTTAAGGAAAGGAGCGCTGACGACACCGCACGCGGGCACGACAAAGCACGGCACGCTTCGCATTCTGGTATTCAGGCACGGCATAAACACAGCACGGCATGCCACACCTGCTGCATTACATATGATAAAGTTTTGGCACGGCACGCGAACACGGTACGGCACGCGCTTGGACACGGCAAGGCACGCGCACGGCATAGCACGCTCACGGCAGGGCACGGCACGCAACCACGCTACGGCACTTCAGCACCATCAATTACCACACACAAGCAGGGCACGGCACAAACACGGCACGGGGTCATAGCACCGCACGTCTCGGTGCATGTTGCGCATTCTAGCGCATTCTAGAAGCCAAGCACGGTATGATTTAGCAAGCTTCGCGGGCACGAGTGAGAACATCGGAAGGAGGAGGACGAGGAGGAGGAGGAGGAGGAGAAGGATGAGTTGGAGGATTGGGAGGAGCGAAGGGGGCTGAGGGTGGGGAAGCGGATGGAGAGGAAATTAAGAGTAACGATGATGATGATGAAAGGCGGGAAAAAGGAAGACGAGGAGGGGTAAGACGAGCGGGAGGCGGATAATGAGGAGGGGACATGGGGAGGGAAGGGAGGATGGAAGGAAAGCGCGCGCGAGGGCGTCGAGGAGAATTGTCAGGAGGGAGGGGCAGGGGTTCGAGGGCAAGTTCGATTGTCAGCGAGGGTCGGCTGACATAGCCCGCCACTGGCGAGCTAGCCGAAACTTGACGCTTCGTATGCCTTGCCTCACATATTTCTGACACGGCCCGGGCAGGTGGTTTCGAGTTTCGGAACCTTTGTCCGCTCGGGCTGGAGAGCGGTCGCCCTCTCTCTCCCTCCCCCCCTCCTCTTCCTTCCTCCTGTTCTGCCCCCCCTTCTTTGACCCCTCTTCCTTATTCCCTCCCCCTCCCACTCCCCGCCTCCTGGCCCTTCCTCAAACAGCTTCCTTGTCACTGCTCATTTTTCACTGCTCCCCTCTCCCTCTACCTCGCTCCCTCCTCCTGCTTCCCCTTCCCCCCTTCCTCCTCATCCGTTCTCCTCTCTTCGCCTCCTTCGTCTCTCATATTCCTCCTCCTCCCCCTCCCCCTCCTCCTCTCTTTCCCCTCACACTTCCTCTCTTTCCTCCTTCCCCCCCCCTTCTCCCCACCAAGCCCTCCTTTCTGCTTCCACTCTCCCTCCCTCTATTAATCCTCCCCTCTTCTTCCTCTGCCCCCCGCCTGCCCCTTCCTTCCCCCCTCCTCTCGTGTCGCTTCTTAGGCAGGAGGTCGGAGGATTGAGAGTGATATGCGACTCCCTTTTGATGTCGTGAGTTTACGACGACCAGCCCACCCACTGACACCTGTGAGGAAGGACGAGGAGGGAGAGGATAATCATGAGTCAGAGGAGGAGAAAGACGTGAGATACGAGGACGGAGGGACCATGATGGGGTGACCACACGGGAGGAGCCGGCGTGAGGCAGAGCCCGGAATGAGGAGTGCAGGAGAACAGACGATCTTTGCCCCCCCCCTCCCCCTCGCCCGCCTCCTCTCGCAGCGCCATGGCCCGCACGAGACACGGGGCGCACGGTCGCCGAGCGCGCGCCCGCTCGGGAGGCCGCTCGGCGCTCCGGTCTGGGTGCGGCCGCTGCGTGCTCGGCGCCAGTTTTAAAGCCGCGCGGCGAAGGGATACAGGAAGGTCCGACGGGCTTCGCCGACGCCTCCGGCCCCCCCCCACTCTCATGATGGGCCTGTCTTCCACCACCACCCATAAGATGAAGGGGGGAAAGAGGTAGAGGAGGAGGACGAGGAGGAGGAGGAGGAGGAGGACCCCCTCCCCCTCCAACTTCTGGTGGTGGTGGTGGAAAGCAGGCCCATCATCTCAGGGTTCGTTTCGACTCCTCCGACCCGATTCGATTCGGTGTCGATCGATTTCGGTTTTGATTCGGTTCGGCCTCGGATTTCGATGTGGGCATCGATTTCCCAACTCAGACCGTGCTATCCTGCCGATTTCTGCCGGTTCGGCTTCTTGCGACTTGGCTGTCGATTTCCGCCGATCCGATTCATTTCGATCGCCGATACGATTTATCGATTCGATTCTGGGCTCTCCTGCCCTCTCGATTGGCGGGACGGCATGTCGACCGACAGGTCCAGGATGAGGATCAATCGTTTCAGAGCGTTCTGGAACGTTCTCAGAGTGTTCCGGAGCGCTCTGGGATGGCCGCGGCGCCCGATACATCCTCAAAAAGCATGCCAGATCTCAGAGATCCCCGATTTAACCCCCGTCCTTGTCTGGCCTCGATTTATATCGACTTGTCGGTTGGTTGCTTGAGCGGTTGGTTGGCCGATTCGTTGGCGGGCTGGCAGTTTGGAGGCTTGAGCGCAGCAGATTAGCAGGTTGGCTGTCTGGCTGGTTGGTTGTTTGGCTGTCTGGTTGGCTGGCGGGTGGCCTCCCCATGAGAGGGGGGGCGGTGGACCTTCGAGATGACGCTGCTGTGTTTCTTTTCTGCGATCGTGACCTTCGTCGTCATCGCGATTGTCACTTCGTCCATGTATTGGACATACGTGTAAACTCATAGCATATATACATGACCGTCGTTACCGCAGAGCAGACGCCAACAGCTGAGGGAACCCTCCGTTGTATCCGCTCCGTCTAGAACTTGCAGTCCTCGATCAGGCTACTACAGCCCTCTGTGAAAATGATCGGGAGGAACAGGGACGATGATGGGGACGGGCAAGAGTGGCGAGAAGAGAGAAAAGAAGGATAGTGAGGAAAAGCGAAGAGGAGGAGAGCTGAGAGGCAGGGCATAGGGGATGATAGGACGAGGTCAGCGCTCCGGGCACGTGTGCGGTCCACTCTGCGGAGCATGGAAAAGCATCAATGGAACTGCCGACTCCTGCGCCGCCGACTTCGTTCCTCAAACATGTTCCAGGTATCATCGGCGCCTCTTTCACTAAGCCGCTACCGTTGTGGATCGCATACCTGCCCGAAGCGCAGGGAGGGAGTAGTCGTAGTAGTAGTCGTAGTCGTCGTCGTAGTAGTCGTCGTCGTCGTAGTAGTAGTAGTAGCAGTAGTAGTAGTAGTAGTAGTAGTAGTAGTAGTAGTAGTAGTAGTAGTAGCAGTAGTAGTCGTAGTAGTAGTAGTAGTAGTAGTAGTAGTAGTAGTAGTAGTAGTAGTAGTAGTAGTAGTAGTAGTAGTAGTAGTAGTAGTAGTAGTAGTAGTAGTAGTAGTAGGAGTAGTAGTAGTAGCGTAGTAGTAGTAGTAGTAGTAGTAGTAGTAGTAGTAGTAGTAGTAGTAGTAGTAGTAGTAGTAGTAGTAGTAGTAGTAGTAGTAGTAGTAGTAGTAGTAGTAGTAGTAGTAGTAGTAGTAGTAGTAGTAGTAGTAGTAGTAGTAGTAGTAGTAGTAGTAGTAGTAGTGGCAGCAGTTGCACGCAACACTTGTGAGAACACGGTCGTGTGGACTGCGCGGCGGCTGGAAAAGAAAATCGTCATCATCATCATCATCATCATCATCATCATAATCACCATCATCCCCATCATGGTCGTCATCGCTCTACACGCAAGGACACGTGCAGGCGGATAGTCATAATCATCATCATCATCATCAACTTCATCATCAACAACATAAACATTTTCATCGGCATCGGTCTCTGCAAACTGACGTCCATACGGGCAGATTCTCAAAATAGTCCCCCCTGGGTGCTCCGAAACTGGGGTTTTGGAGGTACGATGGTCCTCCCCAGACATCTCGGCGAGGCTCTGTTGCACTTCCCCTTGCGTGCCAGAGGTCCGTGGTCGCTGTTCCACTTCGGAGGTCCTCGGCGTGTGCGCTCTCGTTCCGGTTCATTTTTTGCACATGATTATGATCGTTTTGACATACATGTAGCCGGTGAAACATCTTTGCTATATGTTAAGTTCTTTCTTTATCTTTCAAATTGCGCAAAAGGCCGGACCGCACACGTGCCCGGTGCGGAGGTCAGCTTGGAGGAGGAGGAGGAGGAGAAGGAGGCGGAGGAGGAGCAGCAGGAAGGAGGAAGGAGGTGGATGGAGGAGAAGGAGGAGCAGGAGCAGGAGCAGGAGCATGAGCAGGATGGGGACGAGGACGAGGATGGATATGGGGGGGGAGGGGAAGGGGGGCGGAGCTTGGAGGGAGGAGGTGGGCCATGGGAGAGGGTTGAGGAGAGGGGGAAAGTGAGGGCAGGGGAGTGGAGGGTCGGAGGGACAGGGTGGAGGAGAATGCAAAGAGAGGCGATGGACGAGAGCGGGTGGAGGAGGACAGCTGTGGGGAACGGGGTCGGGAGGAAGACGAGGAGGGCAGACAGGAGCGAAGATGGAGGGATCGGAGTAGGGGAGGGTGGATTGAGGATACCATCGAATGAGGATACCATCGAGGGTGGAGGATACCATCGAATGAGGATACCATCGAAGTAAGATGGCGGAGGGTGGAACGAGGATACCATCGAGGGAGCAGACGATGGAGAGCGGCGAAGACAGATGCAGAGGCGGACGAGACAGAAGCTGAA